TCCCGATCTCTGTGTCTGCTATCCTCAGTTCCCGCCGACCGTAATCGCTGTCTTTCTTTCTCTCTGCCTGCTTCGTCTCCGCTACGTCTCTGTCTTCACTACTGCTTCGACTCGTCTGTCTCTCTCACTGTCTAGCGCACTTATATACGATAATACTGCCTGTTCTAGAAACTTCTAAGACTCTCAACACATGCTACCAGCGTCAGTTGATGCAACGCTGTCGCAACACACTAGCGAATCTTCTAGAATACTCGTCACGTGACCCCGCTGTCGTAACGCACTGGCGAATCTTCTAGAATACTCATCACGTGACCACCACCACCCCCACACTGTCGTAACAGTAATATCAAACAGTCTTACGTACCAGCACTGAAGAAGCTGCAAAGGTGAAATGTTGGTTAAAATAAAAATTCTCTTATAATTAGCTAGAGTGAAAAGGTCCATTTTTTCTCTAAATTTATTATCAAAATGTGAAATTTCCTCCAGTATGCACTGTAGAAGTATGACCTGTGTTTTTATGTATTTCAGCCTTTATTTTGAAAACCTTAAAAAATTATTTGGCCATGGGGAACTGCACTTTTTGTAATAAAGAATAAAAAATTGTTCCTGTCAGTGGTCCTGTTAAAAAGTCATATTAAGATGTCTGATTAGTTTTTTGCCATAGACTCAATTTATAGGTTAATACTTTTCCCACCTTGTTCAGAGTGGTATAATTAGAAAACAAATATATAAAGAAAAGCCAAATTATAACAAAATATTAATTTATCAGCAAAAGCTTTCTGTATACAAATCACTAGTTTTATAATAACATGTCAAAATGAGGGACACATGTTTATATAAACAACTTTTCCAAAGCACTTCAAATCACCTGTCCAACTAATGACCCAAAACAACAATCACGAGATTAATCCAAATTTAAACTGTGAGTATATATACCACGCCAAATTACTCGTACTTTATTATTACTACTTGTAACTAACATAACACATTTTTATGAACCTCTTTTGTTTTTTAATGTTGATTGTGACTTTCAGAAAAAATTAATTTTGTTGTGTCCTCATTAATAATTTAGATGCATCCTGATGTTGGACATTAGTTTAAGAATGGAAACCTTGGAGAACATCTGAATTAGAATGTGACCAGTTAGTAGTTGTTTATAGCACTGAATATGAAAGTAGAGATAGGATCTTCATAATAGCAGATCAACTGCTCTTTGTTAATTTTCATGATGCACATTAATACAGTGGAAATACAACAGTTTCAAGGTACTGTGTAGTGGTCGTTTGTACATTTGTGCAGTAAATCCAAATATTGGACAGAAAATGAGAGCATTGATAAAACTTCTGACAAAAATATTAACATTCATAAGTTTAACATGAAGCTGAATTTCTTCCATTCAGGTTCCAAGTTGGAAATGGACAGTGGAGCATGTTCTTTATCCTGGTATCCGGTCCACACTGACACCTCCAAGGTTCTTTGCAGAAGACTCCACAGTTCTCCAGATAGCTGATCTACCTGATTTGTACAGAGTGTTTGAAAGATGTTAATATATTTTCTAACAGAAATGTGTACTGTATTCATTAAACTGTAAGATATTTAATAACAACTGTTGGTCACGTTTCTAGAAACAACTTATCATGGTTTTTACTAGAGAGTTTATCTTGTGAATGGTTCCTATCCGTATCACATAGTTTAATGCCCATGAACGTCTTTCTAAATATATAAAATAAAACCTTGATGGTAGTTGGTTCTAAAACATTTCTCTGAATATCTTCCTACAATTTTACTATTGTTAACCAGAACTAAGGAAAACAATTTTTTTTTAATCTAAGGTTTGACCTTGTTTTACATTTTATTTGCCCCTCACTAGCTCAGCTGTATACCTGGCGGCTAAAAATCGGGCTTAGATACCTATAGTGGACACAGCACAAATAGCCCATTATCAGAGCTGACGACAGAGGGGCAGCTGCCCCGGCCCGGCAGTGGGATATTCCAAAGCTCACTACTTAATGAGCTAAAATGGCTACTGCTTTTTCATAGATTCATGAAGAAATTTGTCACCTAAATTTCTTTTATGAAAAATCAGTAAAAGGTTAATAAACAGAATGAAAGGGGGCCCGATAGTATTACTGACCCTGGGGCCTGGGCTGGCTCTCGACGCACCTGTCCATTATATATCTTTCTGCTTTAGTAAAAACGAATAAATACATTTTATTTTAGTTATGACTGTCTAGTTATTTAATAAATAGATATTTTTTGTTTGTGCGTTTATAATGCGTTTTATTGGCTACTTGTACAAGGACCTTTCTTCTACTTTGTAATTAAAATTTTAGAAACACCATTATATAAATTTTCGGTAAATATTCTTAAAGCTTGCAATATATTTACTATATGATTTTAATATCATCTGAAATTAGTTGACTCTTTTTTTTTAAGCTAATTGAATCTCATGATCATAAGTTAATGCCTTACGATTTTCTTGTACCCATATTGATTTATATAAATGGAACACTCAGCTTATCTAAGGAATGCAGTAGACTACGTTAATTTATCACGTGCTTTTGTTGATAGCATCACATCGAGAATGCCCACTAGTGGCACAGCGGCATGTCTGCGGACTTACAACGCTAGAAACGCTAGGTTTCGATACCTGTGGTGGGCAGAGCACAGATAGCCCATTGTGTAGCTTTGTGCTTAACTTCAAACAAACAAACACATCGAGAGTATTCATACTGTTAAAAAAAGGGGGAGGGGAAAATCGTCACAATGTAAAACTTAAATTATTGTGGTACAATATTACAAGCTAGTAGTAGTTTTGTTATTATATTGCATGAGGGCCGATTGATAAGTTTGCCTGACTTTACGGACTTACAACGCAAACGTTCGATGTTCAATTCCCCGCGATGGACAGTGTGCAGCTAGCCAATTGTGTAGCTTTGCACTAAGAAAACAAAAAAGATTTCTGGACTGTGAAAACTTGGTTCACACCCTCTTACAACGAGAAAAAAACAATAAATCACTTGCCACGCTCTAGGGCCGTCGGTATGCTATTCGATTAGAGTAGCCCATAAGTTGACGGAGGGTGGTGTTAACTAGCAAGAGCTAGTTGTCTAGGTTAGTTTCATTAAATTATTACAAATATTTTCGTATGAGTTATTCATATCGGTAAAACCAGCACTAGGCCCGGCATGGCCAGGTGGTTAGGGCACTCGACTCGCAATTTGAGGGTCGCGGGTTCGAATCCACGTCACACCAAATATGCTCGCCCTTTCAGCCGTGGGGACGTTATAATGTTACGGTCAATCCTACTATTCGTTTGTAAAAGAGTAGCCCAAGAGTTGGCGGTGATGACTAGCTGCCTTCCCTCTAGTCTTACACTGCTAAATTAGGGACGGCTAGCGCAGATAGCCCTCGTGTAGCTTTGCGCGAAATTCAAAACAAACCAAAAATTAGCACTAAAATAAATAACCACTCTTTACCTGCATCCTTAAAAAATGTGTAGTTAAAAAGGCGTTCTCTGCGATGTAACTTTCTTCACATTTCTTAATTTGGAAACAAACTGAAAGTTAGCGTAATCATGTACTGTTTGTCTACCGAACGAGTAAAAGTTTACGATCTTTATAGGACGTAGGACTAGTTCATCAAAAATCGTGTTCCTAGAAACTGTGCAGCGTGAAACCTAGCGGTGTATGTTGTACATATATATATATACCGAATTTTATATGGTGTTAAAGTGTTTTTACGTTAACCGAATGCGCATATTAAAGAAGGAATGTTAATCATCATGCCTCTACACGAAATATGGCATGTTTTTGTTAAATACACGAGTTTGTTGTTTACTAAAAATCAGATGTGTTACAAAAGCGTTTGTACTCAAGATATGTAAGTGAAATGCTGACATCAGTTTGATTCAGACCCTAATAAGTCGTAGTTCATGTGAAGGATAAGCATATTTTAGTATTTCGTTCAGTTTACATATTGCATTTGTATAGCCTCTAGAACCTCCAAAATGCATATCTGTAGTTTTTTTGTTTTCAGTATCCTTGTATATTTTATCTGGTATTTACTGACCTCTACCACGTTAAATCAGCAATACAGCATAAAATGATAGCTGACATCAAATACATAATATCATGTTAAATGGCACTCTGTAAATGGTTATGGCATGTGCACTTTCACCCCCACCCGTGCACATAGGGTTGACGTTAAGTTGCCACCGTGTGGCAATGGCAGAAAATTTTAAGAAATTAGTAAATCGTGAATCTTAAAATTGTTTTATCAAAACTAAACTTCTACAGTCATTCCTTATATAAAAAAAACAACATAAACTTAAAAATGAAATTGATGTGGTGCACACTCGTGTAAATATAACCAATTACAAGAAAAAACAAAAATAAAGTCATTCTGTGAGCCGCGGCTAAAAAGTAAAAATTCATTAAAAACGCGGTAGTGAGGAACTACCTAGGTTTTCTCAAACTGAAACATACGACTGCACATTTTTTTATTGGTATTTTTCTGTAAACTAGCTGATAAACTCAAATGGAATTATATATTATAAACATTAGCTTATGTTTTAATAAAATTCTAATGAGGTTTAAATATGTTATAAAGACTATTGAGGATACGGATCAGCGAAATTTGAGATAAAACTATTTAAACGTATAAATTTACACGTTTAAATAGTTGCTTAAGACACCAATTTTATATTGGTTGTTTCATTAACTTTCTTTGAACTGCTATAAAATAAGTTTTATGTATTAAGAAAACTTTGGATAGAATTAAATGGTTGTGGTATTCCAAGAATTAACCTAGTACACAGTTACATGATCTTTAGAATAAATGAAGATTCGTGGAATTGGAATGCAGAAAGGTTTGGTTTGTTTTGAACTTCGCGCAAAGCTACACGAGGGCTATCTGCGCTAGCCGTTCCTAATTTAGTTTGTTTGTTTTGAACTTCGCGCAAAGCTACATGAGGGCTATCTGCGCTAGCCGTCCCTAATTTAGAAGTGAAAGACTAGAGGGAAGACAGCTAGTCATCACCACCCACCGCCAACTCTTGGGCTACTCTTTTACCAACGAATCCCTAATTTAGTAGTGAAAGACTAGAGGGAAGACAGCTAGTCATCGCCTCTGATATCCGTCT